CCAACTCACAAGTAATTTTAGGGGGTTCATTAGCTGTCAGTATTCCATTAGTTATCCAAATTCCATCTTCCATCTGTCTATCCTTATTTCCAGATCCATGTTTCCTTGCACTCCATATCACGAACACATGTTACTATACGTTTGGCAGGTTACTGGTTTCTACCAGAACCCAGAAAATCTACATTTTATACATAAATTTATCTGAAAAAAAATATTTGGTTTAGTTCTAGCTAAAAGCCATGGTAAAGCACCAGGAAGGGCTTGGGAATTATCTGCAGATAACAGCAGCAAGCTGTTCTCTTCTATGTCAGTGACCTACACAGTGTTGAATTTGGTCGCATTATGTTATGCCTCATTATGGCCCTGTTCTAAAGTTTATTGAAGTCAACATAAATATTTCTCTTGGCTACAATGAGTATTTGACTGGACCCATGTGTGAAGCTGAAGTACAAGAGTCTATTTCTCTTGTGGACAGAAATCCAGCATGGATAATTCTCTTCTTTATTCTGAGGAAAGTAACACACTGACTCTCACTTGAGCCAATCCGGCTGTATATACTTCACCCTGTATTTTTCCCCTGTAGAGGTATTAATGCCGCTCTCACAGCTGCCACAAGCACATTCATCCACAGGTTCCCTTCCCACTTTGATAGGACCTTCCTGAACCTGTCCAACTTCCCATGCCTGAAGCTCCTGTCTCTCCTTGATTTTCCTGGACCTTGATCTCCAGGAACATCTCCTGTCCGTGCTTTGCCTGGGAAGTGTGTTTAAGTAAACAGTTCACACAGTGGATGCCACAGGTTCAGCCAGCCCAGGGCAGCTTCCCAGGGATGTTGGGAAGGGCTTTTCTGTCCTCCTGGCTGGAATCAAAGGAAACCGTTGGAGGACGATCACCCTCACAGCCAGGCTTAGGGATTTGCAGAGTATAGCCAGTGTCTCTACTTCCTCCAGCTCTTAATGAACTATAGGCACTGGAAAATTTTGCAACTCAGTGTTGCGGCTCTGTGCACGGAATGAGTGCCTGTTCTGAGTAAAATCTGAATTGTCACTGCAGTGACCAAGAGTGGTGGGGTTTTAACTGTGGTAGGGATCAGTCTGGAGTATGCCAGTCTACCACTGGTGTAGATGCACAGCACAACTCCAGGGCCACCAGAGAAAAGCCGCTCTTTGTGTCGGTATGGTTTGCTCCAAGGGCAACTGGGGTGCAACCTGTGCCAGCAACACCAAGAGCCTTCCCTGTGGGCAGAGGCACTTTGCCACAGACCTGGCATACTGAGGAGCAATGAGTCCCATACACACACAGAGAAGCACAGACAGAAAGGGGAACTGCTGCCAGCCTAGAGGCAGATGCTGTGAAGATTTTCCTTCTGCAAGACCTGAGAATTACATAGAATTCAAGTTGTGGGCTTCATCCTGGCTGATGGAAGAGCTGCGTGGAAGTGGTGGACAGCAGCCATGTACATAATGGCGGTGCAACACTGGTGTTGTAAACACATCACTATGTGCATTTCCAGATTCATGCCCAGAAATATGTGAAATCAGTTCTCCATGAACATGTGCAGCCAGTGCAAATTGATCACAGGCTGTTTGCAAAAAATAAGGCCACAAACATAAGGGAAGGCCATTTACTCTACAGAAGACTTCATATTTATAGCAGGAGTGTGTCAGGGAGAGGTGGACCAGGTAATTCTAGAGTACTGACTTTATACTGTGTTTTCTCCCCACAATATATAGACACAAAAGGACTTGATGCTGTCTGCTCAGAAGGCCTTCTTTCTCCAGCTTCCAGCTGCTGGACTTCCCCTGCCATCAGATGTTGTTCATGCTCCAAGCATGCAGGAAACACACCAGTGCTGCAGAGCACACACCTACATGTGCCTAGCTGCACCACCAGGCATTAGGCTGCAAAGTTAGGCAGGTAACAGGTGATGCCTTACTTCTGCCTCCCACTGCATGTTAGAGTTTTCAATGGTAGGAACACATCACAGGATCCCTGTATTACCCAGCCCACACAGTTGTCACCGTTTCTGTCAAAGAACTGCCTGATGCTTTATTTTCCTGTCACTGTCCAGTGATTGTCTTCTCTCTCAACATGGTATGAGCCCTTCTCCAAAGACAAGTATCCATTCCCTGTGGGTCTCTCCACAGACAGCACAGCTTACAGTAGATGTGAAAACTCTTACAATGTTTATGGAGCACACAACATGTATTGAGGTGAGAAATAACTCAAGAGCTTCCATTTTATACAAATGAGCTAAGGGAAACATAAAGATAGTAAAGTGAAGGAAACGGATTGAAAGTACTCGAAGCAAAGAGTTTGGACACTGTGAGCAAGCACTCCTACACAGACATCAGCCCATCTACCTACATGAGGGACAATGGACACTTTCCAAAAGGCAAGGACAAATTTTGTCCAGAAATTTTGTCCAAAGGAGGACTTTGGGCAGAAGAGGCAAGCCCGCAGCTGCGGACCAAGCATTATGAGGCTGCAAACAATTGTGCTGCACAGGAGGGACCTCTTCCCCTTGACCATGGCCAAGGGGCTGCCCCCAGCACACAAGTGAGGAGGAAGACTTAGAGAGCAGGCAAAAGCAGGGAGAAAAAGGGAACTACCTTGTCTAAAGACTAACTCCTTCCAGTAAAATACCTGGAGCCCTCCTCAGGTGAACAGCACTGGTACATCAACAAGTTTTTGTGCCTGAGCAAAATTAGTGATATTCAGCTGGCTGCTACGGGATCACATTTCTAATAAAATGGACAGTCAGTAGGTCAGCAGCTCCTACCAGTCTTCTCCCCACATCCTGTCTCTATGGGGAGGAACATCTTTTCCATATATTCCTCTACGGAAACAGCTCAGGGCTCCATACATCTGCCACTGATTTACCTCCTACAGCACCACTTTGGAGTCCAGCAGAACTCTGGACAGCTGGATGTTGCAGGCAGACCTTCCTTTACTACAGCAATCTATTACAGGGACAACTGTGGTTTTCCAAGGCACATCATTAATGTCTTCAGTATTTTCTTTCTCATTGATTTCTTCAGCCTTACTAATTGATGTGGACAACTTCTTTGCTTTGATTAAGCATCATGACAGTTTTGCTTGACTCACCAAGGAGGTAAGACATGACTGTTTTGGTAAGGGCTAGGGTTCATACAGTGTCCCTGTGAAACAGAGCAAGTCTTACAGATTACATCTGCTCACACTGAAAGTTACAGTTCACATACCATCAGAAAGCAGAAGCTGACCCCAAACAATCACAAGCCCTTAACCATGGTCCAGCATTCCAAAAGCAAATGACCATGCTTCAAGCTATATGAAAGCAAACAACTGCAAATTTGTCTTGTAATCAAATGTAAAAATGCCTAGGCAACATGCTTCTGCAAAGTACCTTTTGAACCTCATGATGTCACATTTCTTAGCACCTTATTTGACTTCCCGGAGCATACAGAGAGTTCCCTGTTCACTAAATTAATTGCAGCATATCTCCAACTTTAATAATGTAGTTGCTCAGAGCCATTCTAGTCACAACTCCTTACATGGGCCCAGGAAGTTCTTTGCTCCAACAGCAGTTAAATATCCCAAATTTGATAAATGGGATAACACTTCAGCAACATCCTTATTCAGATCTTCCATTCTTCCTACAAAAGCAGTAGAAGTTTATATCTGGATAAGTGGTCACTCACTGCTGGACTGTCTCCCATGAACTGTCCATGACTCAGGGGATCCAGAACACAGGAAAAAATACACAGTCCTCTTCCATCATTGCTCTCTTTGCAATGACTATTTGGGCCCATACAAGTTTTGCAGGGACAGATCTAATACCACGTGGTTCCTAAGTGATCAGTGCTGAAAAGGCTTGCCACAGGTGTGGGCACAGAGCCTGTCCTCTCCACTATCACCCGTGTTCGGATGGGATAACCACCATCTAGTGGTACATGAAGGCCACTTCACCTTCCAGAGACACCAACAGTTTGGCTTCCTGCCTTTTTTCATCTCAAGTTCAGATCTGCAGAGTTTCTCAGTATGTACAAATTGGGGAAGTCAGAAAACCAGCAGAAGCTGGTGAAAAGTAAATGTCTCTATGAATGAAATAACAAATGACAAATGTGAGCCTAAAGGCATGAGGAATTTATACTCTACCATAGGACTTTAGGTGTAAGTAATTTTTTTGTTTTTAAAGAAGTGTATGCTAATACACATTCCTTAACTGGATCCACGATGGCAGTAGGCTGCCCTGAGAGAATCTCCAGCAACCCTCAAGTGTATAGATTACTCCAAAGGGAATTAGTGTTTGGCTGCAGTTAGAGAAGTCCATTCACCTTGCTAAAAAGCACATCTGATGTTAAGAACCCTGAAGACAAATAACTGAATACATCATTAAGTAGCCTGCTACCCAAGAAGAACGCAGAGGGATTTGGCTCATCAGGTTTTGCATGTGCTTCTGTATCACACCTGCAAAAATGGAACTTTCCCAAAATATTAGTGCCAAGTCTTCCCCAAACACACTGATGATCTGTAGGTGCAACTAATTTACCTTCACATACTAATTGGGTGTTTCTCTCAGCGAATGGTAAGTTACATGCTTAATAAGACATTTCTGGATACAAAAATCTGATTTGTGCCCACAATCAACACTGTATGAACCAAAACTAAGCATTGGGTTTTGCAAGTCTTCTCCTTGTTAACTTCAATGTCTTCTTTTGGTCTAACAAAAACATTAGAAGCTGTGATGCTCTTTAAAGGCTCATTTGATGAAAGTGGTCCAGATCAGGTGTAATTTCATACCCAAACATTTGCTAATGTTTGCTCAAGGAGTGTTTTCTTTTATTTTTTGATAGACTTTCATGGCTAACATGCACTTGGCTGAGACAAGCTTGACAACACACTTGTTTTGCTGTGATTGTCTACTGAAACTCTAAGCAGCCTTTGGTGATGTCCACCAAACAGACCTCTGCCAGCAGGAAGCATATCAGGAAAACATGAAATACATGCCATAGTACCTGTTCTGGTTTGATGGGCTCAGTTGTTGTGAAAATGTCAGAATAATGTTGCCTCTCGAAGACACGATCCAACACTTCTAGCTGCTGCTGGGTGAAAAGGTCTCCTCGCATCTGTTTGCGAAGAAAATCTCTGCTTGGGAGAGAATGGCCATTTGGTACCGGAGATTCCTGAATACCTTTCAAAGATGAGAGAGGAGAGGAAGAGTAAGTAGTCATGTCCATGATGAGACCTACAGAACAGTGTCTCATTTTATCCCTTGAATAGATGTAGGTACTACTATGGTGAAGACCTTTTGAGAGGTTGCGTATCGCTGGAAAATGCACTAGACAGACAACCCTCAACCCATCAACGATTTCAAACATAATTTAAAGGCAGGGCAAAGGATAATGGTCCCATCTCTTCCTTCATCATTTTACTGCACCACCTGAAAACCTATCTAGTTCATGGTCTGCATGCAGGAGAACAAAGGAGGATAGTGACAGTCACAGTAAACTTGAGTCAGCACCCATACACTCTGTCTCCTTTCTGTGCTACCTGCAAATCCTGCTCAGCTCCATCCTATGCTGAGCTTTGAACTATTGGAGTACCATGTTGGGAAACACAGACTCTCCGTGCAGTACTACCAGCAGCACTGCTCAGACATTCCCAAAGCACAGCCTGCGTTGTACAGAAGTGGGACATCCCTGGGCTGAGTTACCACTGCAACACCCTCAAAAAGGCCTGATAAATGGCACTGTTCTGACACTCTAATTCACTTAGTATTTCCTGGGTTTAACTAGCAGGTTATGCTGGGCTCGGAGCCTGGGTTCTGAGGTACATTTTCCTCCCTCTTCCCTTTGGCAGAGATTTTCAGCAGAAGTCACAAGTGACAGCCCATGGTTGAGAAACCATGAGAAAAGTTTGAAAAATATTTATATTAGCAGTCTGGAAAGACTTTTGCAATACAGGGGATGGTTTCAATTTGCTTTTTGCAGATTCACAGTGATTTCCTACTTTTTCTTCATCTGTCAGTGCTGGAAATGTATCTTTTATGCAACTGAAAACTAAGATCTGCAGTATTCCCAGGACTCCAGGAGGTGGAACTCCAACAACAACAGTAAATATAAGATTTCTTCTCCAGATCGCAACATCAGACTAGACAGAAGGAGGAAACGTTTTAAAAATAGAATCTTGCTGCCAGAATAGTTTTGAGGAGTAGAATTCAAATGCATCATTAATGGTAAGATTTCCATGAGTGCTGCAGTGGTTTACAGTCCAAGAAGTCTACAGAGGAATAACATGACCCAGACCTCCTCTGGCAGACGCTGCATCAAGTTTTTTGATGGCAAATATAGAGGTGATCTGACAGAAGTGATCTGTGCAAAAACACCCTGCTGCTGTAGACATCAGTTTTGTCCACAAACACATACTGACCATCAGTAACAGGGGTGATGCCTGTTGGACAAGATTTTTCACAAAGGACTATTGATTTGAGATCATCCTTCAGCACAAATGGATTTTGCAGAATATCCAGTCTATCCAGAGAACTGGGCTGCTTTAAGGCAGAACTGTCAGACTGGGGGACCAACATAGGGAAATACATCTTTTGACCTCACTTTCTAACACTGAACTTAAGCAGAGCACTGCTTATACTGAATAGGCATTAGCTGTAAGCAATTAGTGCTGGAAACTTGCTGCTCTATTTCAGATCAGCAGTTTTGGTGACAAATTCATGTTTAACTGTTTAGAGAAAGTCATGCAATTTTATCAAGACTAGATGATTTTGACTTTTGTGAAGTGCAAGGATAAGTTTATTCACAATTTGGCATCAAAGATAAAGCTTTTTGCAGTTTTGTGAAAGGGTATGATGAAAGAGGGAGTGAGATGATACAAGACATGACATGACCTGAAAAATGTTCTTGGTGATTCCAGTACAGTCTGTGCACTGTTTGTACACCCAGAGATCAGGTGTATAATGAGATCTCATCGTGTTTGAAAATGGAGCAGCAGTACCACCTTTCACCATCAGTACTTTTATTAGGGAGTGCAACTCCAGATTTGTGGGCTTGAACACACTGGAGAAGAAGAGGCAGATGAAGGCAAACCTTGGGGCAGCAGCAGCAGCCAGGGACAGGCACTGGGGGAGTGTTGTGCTGGGATGGGGCTTCCATCCCAGATCCCACAGTACAGCACCCAGAGGGGCAGCACAGGACAGGCACAGACAGAGGCACCATAATATGCCCATGACACCAGCTCAGCCACATCCATCTATCTACCCCAGCTGTCCTCCCTGCAAGGGCCAATGAGGCAGGGGACCACCCTGGGCCCCTACCACCAAAGCATGAGGAAGGGGAGGAGATTGTCCTCAAGAGAAATCCACAGGGAAACACTATACCAGAGGAATCCATAAGGTAACCAGCATATGATGGGTCTTTCTGCACAGTGATGGGCAGTATGGCAGGTTTTGGTCTCAAGTTCAGGATTTGGTACTATGCTGGAAGAGTGACCTGTGCTACCAGCCAGAGCAGGCTGCCAACACACATCCCCGTTTGCTGTATCTCCACTTGCCATCCCGAGGACCTGGAATGGGATGAGTGTCCAAGACATGCTTCCCAATATAGTCCAGCTGTCTCAGGATGAGGATCAGTGCACGCATGGTTTGTGCCAGGGAGGGAGCTGGGCAGGAGTAGGACAGGTCTAGACCATGGGAATAGCTGTCACTGCCCAGAGGATCCAGCACTTAACGCGAGGACTCTGAGAACCACCCAAATCTGCCTCATCCCCATTATCACCTAATTTTCACACCCATGAACAAAGGAATAGCTTGTACTTTTGCACCATGTGTCCCAAATTCAAACTTATTGCAGGTAAATGCTGGATTTCCTTGCAGAACTAAAAGACTTCCTTTACATTGCACATGACACACGGGAGTTTGTGAAGGTCTTCAGAATGTGTTTGGCTGTTAGACATTATACAAATGTGAGAGAAATACCACTAACATTATACTTTGTTTAAATATACTAGAATGTTTTCGATAATTAAAATACCATCAGCAGGTTTGAAGCAGTTTGTGTTATAAATAGGCTCTAGGGAGTGGTAAAAACATTTTTCATATAATCAATGCATCCACATAGGAGGGTTATGTTTTGTTGACAGTAACACTACATGTGTACCTACCTACTCTGCAAAACAATTAGTTCCCAGTTCAATGGCATCTTTCCAGACATGCTAATGAAGAGCACAGATACAATATTCTCCTTAGAACAAAAGAGCATATACTTTCAAAACAAACGTTCCATCCCTTATCACTAGCAGGTTGTGCACGGGACAAGATGATGCCATTAGACCACAATTTCCTGAACTACTTTGATGAAACTCACCCAGATGTAATACACCCAGGCCTGCCATAATGGTCCAAGGAGAGTTCACGCCTCCCCTTTTCCAGCATTAGGCTCCAACACATATCAGATCTGCTCCAGCGGTCACTGTACCAGTCTGATCCAAGTCCCTCCTGACCATCCCACCCTACTCAGGACATTGACTTAGATTCCCACAAGTGCACACAGCTTGGAGAGCAATACATCTATGACCTGCAGCTGACAGACTCATCGTGTTGGGGACATGTGTTCGAGCAACACCCCCTCATTCTGAACTTCTTGGTGGGCATTTGCTAGGCATGGGAAAATGCAATTGTTTCTCACTCTGAAGTGCACAAACACTTTCTGCCCTGTTTGCATTTTACCTAGAAAACTGCCTCATGGTTTCAGAGGGGGCATGTTCCTAAAGTAAATGGCCTGCCTTGGACATAATCTTAATATCAGACAAGCAAAGATTTCTGTGGCTAGCCAAAATCTAATCAGTCCAGGAAGAATCTGGGAACACTTAGACACAGAACAGGTCATCCGCAGTCTTGCTGACAAAAGATTGCCTAAATGATGTGGATATCATCCAGAAATTATGGAATCACTACACAATTCAGTTCAGAAGGGACTCTGCCCACCATGCAGTTCCACCCCCCTGCCATGGACAGGGACACTTTCCACAAACCAGGTCGCTCAAAATCCCATACAACCTCACTTTGGACACTACAACTAATACATCTTCATTTAATTAAGAGCAACTTATCTTCTGAAGACCTAAGAAAATGGTAAGATTGGTTTAAAGAATAAATTGTGATCCCATTTTTAACACACTTCAAGGGTTAAATACTCATCCATGACATGCTTACTGAAACAACAGGAGAATATTTGAAATTGCTAAATATGGCTCAACAAGAATTTTAGTGATACTCACTAGACAACTCACTTGATTTAAAATACTGTTTTTAAGACTAAGGACCAAAATATGAAGAAGAAAAGACCCTAGACCCTATCTTCACAAAATACTAGAGTATGTTTTAAAGCCCTAAGGCTTAGTATTAAAACAAGACTAAATATAGAAATCCCATGGCAGGGAGTTGGAACAAAATAGTCTTCCAACCCAAACTGGTTTATGATTCTATGATTTGTTTTAAGTACTGTGTTATAGCATGAGACAGACCCTGCCCTGGTGCAGTTCTACTTGAGAGTCTCAGTGAGGCAAAACAGCTGAGAAATGGGTGCCATACCCAAATCCAGTTGGAATAATATTTCCAGTGTTATTAATAATAAAGATATGCTATGAAGTGTGCATCTCCATGGTAGATCTGTCTGAAGTTAAAAGGAATTACTGATTTTCAGGTTGGGTTTAGTTTGTTTGGTTGGTTTTTTTTGGAAGGATATGGTTTTATAGCATGAATCAGGAAGTGAATAGCTAGTGCCATGAACAGTTCACATTCATAAAGGACATTATTTCTGTCTCTAATTTGTACTGTCCAACTTCATTACCTGTTATCATGCCTAATTACTCCACCTTACAGGGAAATGCAGGCTAATTAAGAAAGGATGTTATTCATCACATTTAAAACATTATGAAGCAAATGAAATATTACCAGGAAGCAAAAAGGTGATTTGCTTCCGTAGCATGCCTGTAAGTTAGTCCAGAGAAGATAAAGAGTCTGTTTAATTACCACATGGAAGGTTTTGTTGAAAGCAAAAGCTGAATTTTCTTACCACCTTCTTGGGATTGTGTTCATTTGACAGACAGCTGTCTCATGCTCTTCCCAGCAAAGCATTAGTTTTAGGACTGCATATGTGGTAAGACATCTTTGTGTTTACA